CTAAAATATACAAAGAACTCAAAAAGCCGAACAGCAAGAAAATAAACAACTAAATTAAAGTGGAGCATGGAATTAAGTAGTCAGTTCTCAGAAGACGGAATACAAATAATTGAGAAACATTTCTAGACACTTTCAACAGCTTTAGCCACCAAATTAAAACTACTTGGAGGTTTCATTTTAGTCTTCTTAGAACTGATGAGAATTTTTTTTAAAGCTGAAAATGGATCTACCATGTGCTCAAGCTACACAGCCCTGGAATATATTCAAAGGACTAGATCCACTACAGAGGTATCTGTTCATCAATGTTCATAACTGCTTTACTCAAAATAGCAAAGAAATGAAAACAGCCTAGAGGTCCATCCAATGGTGAATGAACTATGAAAAAGGTGGCATATTTATACAATAGAATATTATTCAGCTTTTAAAAGACCAAAATTATGAAATTCACAGGAAAACAGATGGGGCTGGAAATATCATTATGAGTGAGGTAACCTAGACTCAAAGACAGATATTGCATGTTTTCTCTCATTTGTGGATGTTAGCAACCATTCTTCAGATATGTGTATTTTATTTGTAATAACCACAGAAATTAGTCAGAAGCCATGGGGAAAGGAGCATTCAGGGAAGAAAGATATAACACAGTGGCATAAAGGACTAAAGTAGAATAATGGAACAAAAAGAGATAAATTGGAGTGAGGGATGAGAAGGCAAGACCAAGAGAGAATATTAACACCAATAGCCTTCCAAAAAATCATATAAAACCTACTACTATAGAAACATCCTAAAATGTACACACACATATGCATATACATCATATACATACATACACATATATAAAGAGAGTTAAAAGGAGTTACTCTATAGTGGGGCCACAAGGCTCCTATTAGACACAACAGGCTGACAATTAAAAAGTTCAGTGCTAGGAATGGGTTATCTCCTTTGGAGTTGTTGGTCAGGGAGGCCTATAGATCCCTAAACAGTACAGATTATTGCCCATGTTCTTGTTTACTCTACAGAACTTGAAAGTAAGACCACGTTGCTGAAGATACCACATATTTGAGTCAGAACATGAAGTTATTAGGTTGGTATGGATCAGGAATCTTCATCTCTACTGGCTGGCTTTCATAGTTCTGGAAGTATCTATGTACATTAGTAGAGAGGAAAAATAATCTTCAGTCTTACCTAGATGTAAACCCTGTAAGCTCTAATAATGACTGCCTTGGTAAGTATGACATGTTTAAGTAAGACATGCTTACTGTTTCAATAGTAGCACCTACATCATGAGAGTAACAACCACTGACTGATTGGATTCGATTCTCACTCCACAGATGAAAATCATACCTGGCCCCATTTATCAGGCCAAGAATCTGTGACTGGACAGGTAATAGGCCTTAGGAGAGGACCTAATCCTGATATTCTGCTTTAATGCTATAGATATTAAACTGACTCCTAAGGACTTATTGGTATACCCATAGACTGGTGCAGTTCTATTTACAATTGATTATTAACACAGAAACCCACAACTGATCAAGGTACAGAGAATAAGGGACTACAGGATTCTTAGCTCTAAGTGGGACATCTCTGTCATCCCCTCTCTTTGCAAGGCTCAGGAATCACTGTGGAGGAGGCAGAAAGACGTTAAGAGCCTGAGGTGGTGGGTAACTACAAGGAACAGTGTATCTAGACACAGCATGGCAGCTCCACATATGGACTCATTGTTGTGATCTTTGCAAATATTTCACACAAGAATATAAATCAAATATAGTAATTTTTGCTTTCTAAGTTACATAAATAATAATAAAATCCAAAGATATTCACATGTTTAGCAGGTAAACGCAGAATGCAAACTAAGAACTAAAAGAGCAAGGAAGCCTTCAAGGGGAAATGAACATGTAAACTGTTGTGGTGAAATACAGACGGAGTTAGGAGGAAAAGTGGTAGGAGAAGCGAGAGATGGAACAGAAGGGAATCCAGGCAGATTTGATCAAAATACATGTCTAAAAAATTGTCAAACAATTAAAAATAATAAAATAAATTTTAAAAGTGCAATCTTTAGTATGAGACGACCATTTGGAACTATGCCTCAAAAATGCTATCATAAATAAGGCTGTCTGATAATCAAGTTGAAGCCTAGAAGTTCTCATTTTCCTGTTTCAGCAAGAAGTTACTTACTTTATGTGTGACTAGCTCTGAACCACAAAATTAGATACAAGTTTTTCACATGTAAGGTACTCTCCTTATCTGAATATAACTGTTAACTGAATATTAAAGGAAAACAGAAATAATATTATCTTTGCTATGCAAATTAGAAATGCCTTTGGGATAAGAAAAGGCCTCCAGGTATTTTCAAATAAGTGGATGCAAAAGTATATTTCATGTTTAGTTTACTTCTCAACTATTTTAAATACCATTGATCTCAGCATTGTTTATATAATTATATCCAGTACATTTTCCTTTGAAACATTTATTTTTGATGTTAACATAAAAATAGCCAAAGACACTGAAAGCAATAGGCAATCTTTACCAAACTAACCTAATGGCTTCAGGCTATGGTTAGTATCTTATAAGAACATTTTAGGTTACCAAAACTGTATTTTGGTGCGTGACATTCTAATTATACATTTGTATGTCTTCCCTTATACATTTACAAAGACTATTAGGTGATGAGGAAAGATGGAATGTAGGCAAAAAGACATGTGAATCAGGAAAGAGGGTAGTAAAGCTTTTTATTTATCTAGCTTCACCTGTCGGGGTTGTTGTTGTTTTCTGTTTTGTGGTGGGTAAGTTCATAAAATGTAACTGACAGTGAAAGTGTAAAAAAGTGTAGAGTTCCATTGCTCCTGAATGGCTATTCTAACTGTATGGAGAGAGCAGTGCTTCTCAACCTTGCTAATGCTGCAACCCCTTAAAACAGTTCCTCATGCTATGGAGACCCCAATTATAAAATTATTTTCATTGCTACTTCATAACTGTAATTTTGCTACTGTTACAAATTGAAATGTAAACATCTGTGAAAGGCTCCTTGGATCCCCAAAGCAGTCATACAGGTTGAGAAGTATTGGTATGAGTCACTGAAATGTATCGAGTTTTGACTGGGGAAGTGTTTGAAAGGTTACCTTAATCTAGCTGTGTGAGACTTTTAGTTCATTGTAATAAAGTGAAATATATAAATTCCATAACCCTACTTAGTGAGATTTTCTTATAACTCTTTTCTTCCAGCTTCATGTTAAATAACATTAAAAATAATAAATTTGTTTTTAAAATAAGAACTATTCTATGACACTTCAAATAACAGAGTAGATATGCCCCATTATGAGTATAATATGGTTTGAATTTATATACTGTTTAAAATATTTTGATTTACTTAAAATTATTTTATCTTCTCTCACAAAAAATAAGTAAATGATAATTCTATGGAAAGGATATGGAGAGCCACACTTAAATGTTAAAATCAATAGCCAATATGGATTATGAAATATCATTGTCTACACACAGATGAAATTAAGATGCTCTGAAAAAAGTCATAGACCCTTTAATACCAACCACTGAACCTATTTCTTGGCTTTGTAAATAACTGAATCAACTTTCTAGAAGTTAGAGCCTGTTCCAGGTGGAACGACCCTATTGTAAGTAGCATAATTATGTACAGCTAACTAACCTGTAAGGCAGGTACAGCACAAAGACATTATGTTGTTGGAGGGCTTCTCTCCAGGTTCCCCAAGCCCCGCAGTCCCACAATCCACTTTTAAAATAATCACTCAGACACTTATATCACTTATAAACTGTATGGCCATGGCAGGCTTCTTGCTAACTGTTCTTTTATCTTAAATTAACCCATTTCTATAAATCTATACCTTGCCACGTGGCCGGTGGCTTACCAGCGTCTTCACATGTTGCTTGTCCTGGCGGTGGCTGCAGTGTCCCTCCCCTCAGCCTTCCGCTTCCCAGAATTCTCCTCTCTCCTTGTCCCACCTACTTCCTGCCTGGCAACCTATTTCTTGCCTGGTCACTGGCCATCAGTGTTTTATTTATATAGAATGATATCCACAGCAACATTATCTCCTGTTCAATGTCTATCTAGAAGGCTGTTTTAGCTCAAGACTCAAAAAGAATAAAGTTATGAACAGTCAAATGGAAATAGTTATTCCATGAAGCTGAGAGTGTTCTCTGAACAATAAGTCAAGGACCTACCTGAGATCTAACACACATGTGACGTTAGTCCACACTTGAGAGGAGAATGTGGACCGAGATAGCAGGCACACAAAGAAACACCAACTAAATTATAACTGTAAGTAAAACATATAACTCAAAATGTTCAACAACTCCCCAAAGGGATATGTCAAAAGAAACCTCCACCAAGAGCTGATAGAAAAACGTGTAAAAATATAAATACTAATAAAAACCCTGAAGCAATGGCAGAGGAATGATTTACATGATAGCAAATTTCTCATTGGAAAGTAGAATATAGGTCTATTTTTCAAATATTAAAACCAAAATGCATTAGCCCAAATTCTATGCTTAATAAAAATATATTTGAGAAATGAAAGGAGAATCACAATATTCTTAAACAAAGGAAGTCTGCAAAAATTTATTCTTATGTGATCATAAGATTGGATAAAGTAAGTTTTCTAAAGAGAAAAGAAACAATAAGAAAGGTTCCAGAACTCCAGGAAGGAAGAAATAAGAGTAGCAATGGGCTGGGGTTAAACTTAGTAACACAGCCCATGTCAAACCTGCACCCAGGTGCTTGCTCCGTCACTAGTCTAAACCACCCCCAAAATAAATGGAATGAAAACCTGGGTCATTAAGAAATTTCATCCTTGCTGGGCAGTGGTGGCACATGCCTGTAATCCCAGCACTCGAGAGGCAGAGAGAGGTGGATCTCTGTGAGTTCGAGGCCAGCCTGGTCTACAGAGGACAGGCACCAAAACTATACAGAGAAACCCTGTCACAAAAAAAATAAAAAAAAAAAAAAAAACAATAAAAACAATCACCGTTGTGTGTCCAGCTCTCCCCAATGACTGCTGCGCCTCAGGGCCCAGGTTTCAGCAGACCTCTTCAAGATGCCGTCTCAGATGGAGCATGCCATGGAAACCACGATGCTTACATTTCACAGATTTGCAGGGGACAAAGACTACTTAACAAAGGAAGATCTGAGATTGCTCATGGAAAGGGAGTTCCCTGGGTTCTTGGAAAATCAAAAGGACCCTCTGGCTGTGGACAAAATAATGAAGGACCTGGACCAGTGCAGAGATGGCAAAGTCGGCTTCCAGAACTTTTTATCACTAGTTGCAGGGCTCATCATTGCATGCAATGACTATTTTGTAGTACACATGAAGCAGAAGGGAAATAAGTAGGCCAAACAGAGCCCTAATACTCCCTGCCTGATGCATGCTCTCCTACAGGGCCACTTGAGGACTTTGCCTCACTGCTTCTCAAGAGCAGATCAGGACCCTTAGGAAATGTGCACCAACTCCAATTCGACAAGCAGAGAAAGAAAAGTTAATTCTGTGACAGAGAAGCTTTTGATTTTTATATTTGCATCCTGCTGCCCTCAATAAAGAGAGTCCTTTTTTTTTTTTTTTTTTTTAGTTCTGGAAAAAAAAAAGAAAGAAAAAAGAAATTTAATTCTCGGTTTTCTAAACTGTCTGATGACTGAAGCAAAATATCTACCTTGTAAAATAGCCTTAAATATTTCCCCATGCTGAGATTATCTCACTGGAAAACTCTAGTGAACATTTAAAGAAAAGTTAACATCAACCTACACAATGTGTTCCAGAAGACAAGAAAAGAAAGCATGGCTGGGCTGTGGTAGCACAACCTTTACTCCTCACACTCTGGAGACAGAGGCCCACAGATCTCAGTGAGTTCAAGGCCAGCCTGGTCCACAAAGTGAGTTCCAGGACAGCCAGGAATGTTACATAGAGAAACCCGGTCTTGAAAAACCAAAAAAAAAACAAAAAAAAAAA